TTTATCAAAATATAATTTACATATTGTAAAGCCTTGGGGTTTTTTGTGCATATTTCTACACGGTGTTTGTATATAAATAACAGAAAACAAACTCAACAAAATGTAAAGTTAAACTAAGGCAAATTTTGTAAACCCAAAATAAACGTGTTAACTGGCAACTTAAAAGTTAATATCACAAAAATCATTATATATGTATAGATGTTTATAACAGCGCAAATTAATGAATTGTTTAAGCGAATGTTCACGTTACATATCAGAATACAAGGTATATGAATATCGATTTTCCATATATAAATATTGAGAGAGATATATGTAAGTATATAGCACGAATAATAGTTAATATATGTTCTGTTTGTTGGTTTTTCAGCAAATATGCTCGAGTATTACAATTAATTAAGCATTGACTTCTAGTTGCGCAGAGCTAGCAAATTTTTTGTTTATGTGGATATATTAAATGTATATAGTAGCACGGCTTATAGCGGATAACCAAGGGCAGCTGATAATAGTGGCTCCCAAGCGCGATTTATATCCAAATATAGCATTGTGCACTGTTCAGCGATCGTTTCATCGTCGTCCAATATAGTTATAGGGAAGAGATCATTCTGTTCCAATGATACACAATATTATTATTTTATAATTTTAAATAGTTGCAGCTATCAATTACTCACATTTTTGGCCTGCCATAGCTGCTCGAGCAGTCGTAAGAAGCGTTGCATTTCCGCGCTACTTGCAAAGAATATAACCAAATCATCTAGACATTCTAGAGGCGCCTCCTGACAGGAGAACTCTAGTATGCACCACCATGTCTCACTATGCGAGGGTATTTTAATGCCTGTCATTGCCTTTATGTCAGCACAAGTAAGTATTTCCAAGCCCGAGTTTTTGCCGTAAACACTGCTCATATTATGCGATTGTCCCCTTGGTACAGCTTTGGAAGTGTCCACCGATTGCTTGGTGGGTGTAGAGTTAAGCGAGGAACAGGACTGTTGTGTGCCACGTGTGGGTGTGCTCATGGTAGAGCTCAGCTAAGGATAGACAGATATATAGTAAGGAGTGCTGATTTAGTAGCTCAAATGTTTACTCACCAAGCTGCTGGTTTCGAAGATGCACAACATTTCCTCATCCCGTAGCAGTTGCTTTTGTTCTGCAGCAGCTGGCGGTGTTTCCGATTGGCTGTTCAGCTGTCGCAAGGGGGCCGTAAAGTCCTCGCGTAGCGTAATCAAATGATTCTGGGTAACGATCAAAGTGCAGCCCAACGCCTTGTGTCGCTCCTGTAGCTCGAAGAGCTGTCAAGAAATATGAATTCGATATTTCAACTAGTCCGAGTTGTTGGCTGGTTGTCATATAACTTACACCACTTGCTGACTGCAGCAGCGCCTGCAGCCACTCGGAGGCCACATACTCATCCGGTGCAGCCATTTGCAATAGTTCGCCTTTCAGCATAATCTCAAAACAATGCGGACGCGCTGATTTGACCGCTCGCCTTGCGCCCTGGCACTCGGCCAAGGCCATGGCCCAGCTGGGCAACTTTTGTGTGGAGTCATGGAACATGTACAGCACACCAGCTCTGCAATATAGAACATATTAACGATATACCAAATACTATTTGTATAACTAAACCTTACTTTAGCAAAAAGTACCCCGGCTGCCAGCTTATCTTAGCCGCAGCGTTCGCTGTGGCCGTCTCTCGCACCCGTCGATGCATGAGAAAGCCCTTGATGTGCGGTCCCAACGGCTCCTGTTCACCATCCAAGCCCCGGCCCAGGGCACCGCCAGCTGGCATATTGACTACCGCATAGAACATCCAGCGTTCATCTTTGCTCACACAGCTGTTTGCACGAACAAAAGCCTGCAACGGTGCCAGATGCTCCAGCGTCAATTGTCCTACAGCGGGCAACGTTGAGCCACTACGACGAGCACACAGCTCCAGATTGGCAACCAGTGCATCCGCTGGATATGGGCCGCCGGCTAGCAGCACCTGCTGCATATCCCGCATACTGTTGCTAAGTAGCACCGTATTACCGAAGGGGCCCATCTGTGCAGCGGGTGATTTTGTGGTTATTATATAGACTCGACTCAATAGGTATTGCAGCTTACCAATATGACATCCAGTTCCTTGTAGGCGAGCACAAACTTAGCACACAGACAATTTCGCACCAGATCTGTTACATACAGCGTCTTATCCGTGAGCAGTACCAAGACCGGCGTCATGAAGCCCTCGCGACTGTAGCCCGTATACAGCTTGAAGACCTGCACAGGCAAGTTGAGTAAAACAAAATGAAGTTAATTAGTTGATAGTGACTAGCAGATACCCTTTGCAACTATCTGTTGACCCCCATAATATTCTTAATGATTACCTTCAACAGCTGCTCATTGGGTTCACGGAGCATAGGCAAGTGCTTGCCATTGAATATATCAATGGATATTTCGCCAATGCCCAATTCGAAGCGAGAGACATCTCCCGGTAAATCCGGATCCATGCCCACAGCCAGTTCGCGTCGCGGCGAATTGGCGCCAGACATTTCTATCTCCATGGCAATCTCTGCATTCAAATCGTCGATGAGTTCATAATTCTTGGGCCGCACACCGCGCACATAGAGATTGGAACCAAGATGCTTATGCTCGCTACGCAGTTTGTCGGCAAAGAAGTCATTTTTTCGTATGGAGGATTCGAGGATTTTCTTCTGGGTCACATTACGCAGAAAGCGATTGATCAGCGAAGTTTTAGCTGGCGGCACAGGCGGTTTCAGGAGCTGCGCATAGTCCACGTCATTGTAGTCCACAATAACGAGATCGCTCTCTGTGGAAGGTCGCTCATTGGCCGTATCCGTGGTGGTGGTTATGGTCAGTATATCATCGAACTCCTCACTGAGTATAGTGCTCTTCGAGTCACGTCCACTTCCGCCAACTGCCGCACCACCTCTTCCACTGCCCAAATAGCTACTCGGACTGTGCAGGCTGCGACTGTGCATCGACTGCTGCTGCTGCTGAGGTGGCTCGCCATAGCGTGGCGGCTGTCCGCTTCGCTTCTTTAAGGGCGATGGCAAATGACGCGACTGACGCTCCACGTTGCCCAACATCAAACCATGGATATTGTTTGTGTTAGGAGTTTGTGGTTTAGTGCACGATGTGGAATTGCTGTTGGTATTGTTGCTGATTGAGCTAAGCTCAGATATGGTGGATGAGGATTGAGTAGTGGGCATCTTGGTGCTAAGAGGCTGATACTGTTGCTGTTGCTGCTGCTGCTGCGGCTGATGCGACTGCTGTGGCGTTTTTGACATTTTTGAAGCTAAGCGAAAGAGAAAGAAATTGTATTTGAATTACATAGAATTGACTTAAAATTCTTTTTTATTCCATACCAAAGTAACTATCTGTGGCTGCAAGTTGCTGCTGCTGCTCTTCAAYCTTCCGCTTCTGTTGCAGCTCCTTGTCCACAGTTGCCGCACTGCTGGAGTTCTCCTTGAGACTGCGAAAGAAGTTGCTAAATGTCTTGGCTATGGGTGCGCCCATAAACGAACTGCGCAGCTGACTCGCTGGCTGTGCAATGGGTGTGTCCCGCTCCAATAGACCGGCCACGCTATTATGCTGTGTGGTGGATAGCTGCAGCTCCGACTCCTGTTGCGGCTCGCTGCTGGTCTCGTAGGAGACGCCTGTGTGCTCAAAGACTGTGCTCTCGCAGTTGATGATAAACTTGCTGCGGAATTCGTTCTGTGTGCTGGTGACAATTGGTGCCGCAACGACTGGTTCATTATCAAACTCATCTTGGCGTCGCAGCACATGTGGTTGCTGCTCTAGGGGTGACGCCTCGGCTGAGCTGTTTTGCTCATCGTTTTTACGTCGCAGCTGCTCGTCAACATTGTGCACGAATTTCTTGACACTCTGCGTCTGTTTAGTGCCATCCAGGCTCTTGCTTAGAAAGGGTTTGGCCTTGACCGGTGGAGAGTCGGGCGACTCGCATTGCGCATATACCTTCGGCTTGTGCTCGGGCGTTTGCTCCAGCTCCGGCACGCACTCAACCACCGATTGCAAGTCCTCAGAGCCCTCGGGCACACCACGTTCGGGCAGAGGCATCGTGAAGATGCTCTTCAGCGATCCGAATATCATTTTGCTGCTATTGTCGAGCAGCTGATGTTTTATGTCGTGCACATTGAACTTCTTGACGCGCTCATTGAGATCCTGCTCGTGAATAATATTTGTGTGACGTTTGGTTTTCTTCAGGCAGCTGGACTTGGGCTTCTTCTCCTTGTTCCAGACAGACTTCTGCTTGGGGCTGCCGGCATCCCCAATATTTGGCTCTGAGTAGTAACAGTTGTCGCCTTGGATTTTATTTAAAATAGAGAACATAAGGCGTTATATAACAGTCAGAAAATCTAGAGTGGAAGACTCACCAATTAAGTTATTGTTGGCATTGCTCATGCCAATGCAATCGCAGGAGCTGCTTTTGGCCTGCTCATATTGTTTGCGATTGGTATTGGAGTTGCTGTTCGAGTTCTTGTCCTGCTCATCCGAGTCCAGGCTCGAATTGGAGCTGCTACAGGCGCAGCGATAGAGCAAACGATCATCCCGGCGATTAGTATCCGCCGCCCTCGGCCCATACTCAAAGACGCCGGAATTGTCATATTGCAATCCAACCGGTTCATTAGTGTCATAGATGTCCGTATTGCCATAGTCTAGGACATCCGAACAGGCGTTGCGATAAACCAGACGACGATTGTGACCCACAGCACCGTTGCCGGCTTCTCGTTCTCCTGCATCCCGGCCAGCAGCGCTCAGTTCTGTGGGCGCCTGCACGCGGTCCCGTTCGGCACACCAGGAATAGCGACCAGCGGCACCAGCCACGCCTGCTGAATTGCCACCCATCACGGCCAATTTGCGTCCGTTTTTGTATGTGATAAAGCCATGCTCTATGTGTATGTTGTCAGTGCGTGTGTTCTTTAAGATGTCTTCGTGGAATGAGACGCGCTTCTTGGGCGCCTTGGGCGTGGATGATGTTTTGTGTACTTTGCGCCTGTACACGATCTTTTCAGCAGTGTCAAAGGTCGAACAGGCGCTGGCTGTCATGTTGTCTTCGGCAGCAACATTCGAATTTCCATCGATTGGTTGACTGATAGGCAAAATCTGTGTCTTCACTGGCTCTTCGAACTCCAGGCCCGACTGAGAGCAGAGAGATTCCAGCATTATGTCGCTATTCTCGCTATCCAGCATTTGGACGCCCGAGTCACTGGGTGTTGTGTCCTCCTCTAAACTACAACTGGTATTCATACTGAGGCTCATCTTGTCACCGCCACCGCCGGGCGAGACCTTGGCACTCAGATTGTTGTTGACCTTGGGATATAGTGGTGACTCCATTACGACATCGTAAGCATATGTCTCGACTAGCGTTTCTGCTGATTAAATTGTATATCACCTTTTTGTGTAACAATGCTTTTTAAGGGGAATTCGCTTATTGGTTTTATGCCAATTCGTAACGCACTTTAATGATAATGGGAAAACAGACAATTTTATACATATATATATATATGTATATATATACACATGTATATTTAGAAATTATTAGATTAGTTATTTTCTTTAGTTTCGTGCTATTTTTCGGTATCTTGGTTTTCTGGCAAGTAATCAATATTAACACCGATTGCACACTGCGCCGCAGTCACATCACGTCACAGTGCAACAAAGGAGTACACGGATGACGACCCCACGACCCCGCCTCCCACACGCCTTTTTAGCGCACCCAACAAAACAGCCTCAACTCAACACCCGCAATATTTTAACGGCCTATTTTCACGAACCCACCTTCAATTTGTTGCGAAAATTCCATGCTAAGCTTGTGCTCGGCGCTTTTAATTAATTAAGTAGCTTAGATTTTACAATATATTTGAGTTTTAACTGTTTTATAGTTACATTTTAAAATAACAAGTACACACAAGTAAAACAAATCAATAATTATCATAAAAACTAAACGTTGCCAACAAGTTGAAAGGCCCAACTTATGGGCAACTCCTGCGCACAGCTGTGTGTAGTTATGCGTACATCTGGCAGCTCTGTCAGCTGTTTACAACAGGTGTATACCTTTGGCGCACAGCTTTGTACGTTATATGAATTCAAACTGAAGCAGCGCCTACAATTAGTTTTTGACTTTTTATAGTAAACGTATAAGTTTCGCATTAGCATGTACGCATACACAGATTATATCAGTTAGATGTCAGGCAGTACGCATATTATAGTTAGCAACGGGCATATCGAATTTGTCGAAACGTTTGACGCCACACCAGAAACTCGGCTTCAGAGCTTACTCAATCTATGCTACACGTGAGGGATTGAGGGGTATATGTGTATCGGTTTCTCCCAATACGCATTCCGTCTGTGTCTTTGTTTTGCACATACCTTAGGCATGTCAATTTTGAAAAGTACAATAGCAAAGAGAGGAATGACAATGAAAAGGAATGAAACCATAGAAATTGAATTTATCACACCTTGAGCGGCGCACGGTAAACGTGTATATAACTCTTTTATATTTATTTTCGGTTACCTCTTTGCCGTATAAACGGAAAGAACGAGCAAAAAATCGTCTTGCATTTATTAAATAATCCAATAAAAATCATTCGAATGCGTCAATCGAGTTAAAAATAATGTTCCAGTTCTGTTGCTCAAACGAAAAATGTCAACCACATCAGAACAATGTGCCGTAAAGCTATGAAACTGGAATATAAACGCAAAAAACAACACGGGAAAACGCGCAAAACTATGCAACATAAATATATGTAGTAAATAGCCGTTACTTAAAAAATAATTTATATTGGAAACGAAAAATAACCAAAGGCGTGTGTTCAAAATGCAAATGCCAACCATATTTAGACAATTGAAACAACATAATTTCTTGATTGCAGTTGCAATCTATATGCATATGCTAGAAAAATCAATTCAATTATGTGATTGTGTTCATGGTTACAGGTAATAGTTTATAATAATTAATTACAATTCATTTGCCAAGCTGGCAAACAGTAAAAACGTACATTGCATCAGACATGGCCGCAACATAACCTCAAATAGAAAAATAGTCAAATGTTGTTCACTTTTACTTCATCTCATGAAACTAGTGTAGAAAGTGTTATGGTTTCAAGTTATAATCCAAGTAAAATAAGGCAAGCTGTATGATCCATAACATACAATGTCTGTGATTAGAATGTATTAACATAACCTTAAAAAAACATATATAAATATATATTTTTTTTGCTATTTACTTACGCTTACCTGTAGAAACAATACAGAGAGTGCCGAGCTGGTATCTCATTATGAATCAAGTCTATCGCTGCCAGACATATTGCCCATACCATCGAAGACCTATGACAAAAATCGTGCACCCAAGCTGCTGGGCCAGCCGACCGTTGTTTACTTCCACGTCACCGTACTTTCCTTAGACTCAATCAATGAGGAGTCCATGGTAATGATATTCAAGCTGTTTAGGATATTCAAGCTCTCTATGATTTCTTTAATTGCTTTGCTCAATTTTCACAGACCTATGTGACGGACATCTTTTTAGCACAAAGCTGGCGCGATCCTCGTCTGCGTTTGCCAGAGAACATGAGCGAACAGTATCGGATCTTGGATGTGGATTGGCTGCACAGCATTTGGCGTCCCGATTGCTTCTTCAAGAATGCCAAAAAGGTGACATTCCACGAGATGAGCATACCCAATCACTATCTTTGGCTCTACCACGACAAGACTCTTCTCTATATGTCCAAGCTGACGCTAGTGCTCTCGTGCGCCATGAAATTCGAATCCTATCCGCACGATACACAAATCTGTTCCATGATGATAGAGAGTTGTAAGTGAAGTGTTCTTAATGGAGGACATATCCTTAACATATTAAATTGTTCTAGTATCCCACACTGTGGAGGATTTGGTATTCATTTGGAACATGACCGATCCGCTAGTGGTGAATGCTGAAATCGAGCTGCCACAACTGGACATATCAAACAACTATACAACTGATTGCACCATCGAGTACTCAACGGGTATGCTTGCCTATTGTTCCGATTCTATTGTAAATCTAAGTCTATATCCTTCCTCTCAGGTAATTTCACCTGCTTGGCCATAGTCTTCAATTTACGTCGACGCCTCGGCTATCATCTGTTTCACACCTATATACCCTCGGCGCTGATTGTGGTGATGTCGTGGATATCGTTTTGGATTAAGCCTGAGGCAATACCGGCCCGTGTTACCCTGGGCGTTACTTCACTGCTGACGCTGGCCACCCAAAACACACAATCACAACAATCGCTGCCGCCGGTGTCCTATGTGAAGGCAATCGATGTCTGGATGTCATCCTGTTCGGTGTTCGTATTCCTATCTCTAATGGAGTTTGCTGTAGTTAACAACTATATGGGACCGGTGGCTACCAAGGCCATGAAGGGTTATTCGGATGAGAACATCACAGATCTGGATGATCTGAAGGTGAGTTTGGACATCGATTAATCGCTTTCCAAATTGGCTGAAACTGAAACCATGTAGTGTGTCTTACAGCATCATCATCGGGAGTCCATAATAGAACCACAATATGATACCTTCTGCCATGGCCACGCAACCGCCATCTATATTGATAAATTCTCGCGCTTTTTCTTCCCCTTCTCGTTCTTCATACTCAACATTGTTTACTGGACAACTTTTCTATAGACTCATGTGGAGCACTTCTAACGTTAACTTTAAAAACAATAATAACAATAATAATACAAAACGCATTTGTTTAAAAATGTATATAGCTTGTAAGCCACAAACGAATTTGCAAGTAAATTACATAATATACATATAACATATATGGTATATTATTTTATTGTATAAATAAAAAAGGCGTTTAATTATTAAATTTAATTCAAAGGAAGAAATTAAGAAATGCATTTTAATTGCGCAACAAAGGTGGAATTATCTTTGGTATTTTTACTATATAAGTATGTATGTATGTAGAGTTTAGACATATAGCAAATACATAGGTATTTATATATATAAATATAAATGTGTATAAATGTATATAAAAAGTTGTTATCGTGGCTTTCTTTCCATTTTCATTTTCATCTCCATTTCAATTACAATTGTTCCTTCATTCTTATCAGCATTATACGTATAATCACATGATATTATAGTATCCTTCTATATATTTATATATATATGCACATTTAGAGTAATATTCTTTTTTTTTAATTTTAGTTACTTTTTCCATTTTACTATATAATTTGTTTAGCTTTTGTCGCCTACGTTAATTGTTGCTAAATATTCATGTAATTTATGCATTATGCGAGTGTTAATAAACAACGTTTGACACTAATTCAACTTATATATGTAAAAATATTTCGGTTATAAATAATACACACAGAGCTACTACAGATCCAGAGTAATACACGCGTTCACAAATAAATACTCTATCACATATAAAAAAAAATATATATAGGATATAATAAGAATAATAACGAAGAAGAGCAGAACACGCATTGAACGTAAGCTTTGTAGAAGCCGCAGCGAGTAGGAGCACTAAATAGATCGCCAGGATAAAAACTATATCTGTCGCTGTTGGATGAATTTCGGGTTTACTGCAAACAAGCCTGCAACTTTTCTGTCCACTCCTGAGCCAGGTTCGCATTCATAGCATAGAAGTTATAGGTGCGCTTCGAGGTTTTAAGCTGTAAGAGATTGAATAGATTATGTTTAGGTTACAAGGTTAAAGCATTTTAGAAAATTGTGACTTGAACTAAAATCCTCTAATCAATGCTCTCTTAGACTTCAGCTTTTGTCTCTCTTTGCTCTTATTGCAATAACTGTACTTACATCAAAGAAACCCTTTTCATCGACGCGTTTTGTGCCAATTTGTGCGGGCTGTGCGGCAGTCACCGACTGCACCTCGGCCAACTCTGAAAGACAAACATTATATGTCATGAATATATTTATGTTTACCAATTTCCAAAATACAATGTTACCTATAATACCCTTTGGCGCTGTATCATCGGAAGTATCATAATAGCGCAATTGATGTTTAATCGAGTCCAAAACGAACCAGCGTTGCTTCCATCCCTTCAGCAGAGCGCCACGTTTGTAGAGATGTCTGGGAATAGGATGGATATTATGAATAAACAGCTATAGACAATTTGGATCAGTAAAATAATACTTACCCTTCGTGCGTGCGATTCTCGGCAACATTGCTGCTGAACTGGTTGTAGAAGTGGTGACTGGAGGTGCGTGCGGTGGTCGCTGCACTGGATGCAATGCTGGCGGTATCACCCTGGGATATGTTGACATTGGGCGGCCCCACAGTACCATCTATGGCCTTGTATTTGGTGCAGTTCTTCATGGAGAGCTCCGTACACTTCTCATGATAGGAGTTGCCACAGTCCATACAACGATAGCCAACAGGCCCCCAGAGCAGCTTAGTGCAATGATTGCAATTGGTGGGCGTCGTATATGGATGCTTCTCAAAGCGATGCGGATGAAAGAACTTATCCTGATACCCAGCCAAGCGACCCTTCATTATAATTTCGAGCGTAGAGCGCTTGTGTTGATGCGTCTGGACCAGCATGCTGTTCATTGAAGTTTTGCGCGATATGGACTCTGACTGTGGTACGACCATATTGTTCCACACCAACTGCCACTTCTGTGGCAGATGGCCGCGTTCCGTCTCCGCCTGTTTCACCTCGCTGAGCAGACAGACATAGGCATTGGGATTGCATTTCTCAATGTTGTCATAGCCGGCGCTAATCACCATGCGTTTGCCCTTGATCTCAGACAGATCGATTTCATCATCGACATTGGTCACTTCCAGATCATAGGGCGGTCCCTGTGCCAGCTCCTCGTTGGTATAAAAGCTCCACAGGTCTAAGGCAGCCACGCTATTCTGCGGACGCAGTACCACATCCCTGTTGGCAGAGTACAGGAAATTATAGAATATTGGCGATTTGTTGTGCTGTCGCTCGATATAATCGAAAATGGAGTGTCCAATGCGATTCATTTGATTAGGCGTGCGTGGACTGCGTATGTCGAGCGGATAAACATTACATTCATCATCCGAACCATTCGCAGCACCGCCACCACCAAATATATGCTTGGTGGTCAGTGAGCCGCGCTTGTCCTCCATGGACGCAATGCCGGAATCGTAGCGCTCCAACTCGCAGTCAAAGAGAAATGTGCGAAATCGACACGAGACCACGTGATAGGCCAGAAAACGCAAATAGAAATCATTAAACTCAAATGCCATGGGAAACTGTCGCTGCAGCTGAAAGACAACATCCAGAAACTGCAAAAATGTGGGCGCAAAGGCAATGTTTGTGCTGGCATGGGATGGTTTCAAATTGCTGCGATGGGCAAAGCGATGTCCGAATGCCAGCCACTCTTTCTCGACCAGCACACGAAAGCCGTCGATCGTGCGATAATAGGGATCAAGGCACAGTTGTGCGATGCTCGACAGCTGGGCAGTCACGTCGGAGCCGTCCTCCAGTGAAAGCATGACGCTACTTTCCTGCAAATCAATGAGGTCCACAACGGCACCGGATAGCTGCAGCAGGGTAGAGATTTGTTGCAGCCAATCTGATTGCTCAACCATCTTGGCAAAGCTCAGGCTATCTGCTTCACTGATATTATGTGAGGGCATGCAGGCACGTATCAGTTTCTTGAAGGCTGATCGAGATTGCCGTATATCCGGATAATCCACTGGTATGAAATCCGCACAGAAATCACCATTCAAATTCGATTTGGCTTGCGATTTTTCGCCTACCCAGAAAAAAAAATCAAAAATATATTAGATGCTATAAGAGTTTAACTTTGGCATGTGTAAGCCTACCTAGAACATAGAGCCGCATCTTCCGAAATGCGTTCGCTGCAGTCCTTTCATTGCCTTTCATGGTGCCACCCTTGTTGCCGCCGACATTGGCTTTACTACTTTCCGACATACTCAAATTTGTTCGTTGTTTGCGCATAAACTCTGGTGTTAACGATTGATGTTCTTCGCCATGTCCGAGCAGTGAGTTTATGGAGAGATTCATATCGGTATACTGATTGAGTGCGTCGAGCGGCGTCAGCACAGGCATTGTATTAATCAGCGCCATTAAATATTTGTCCTGTTCCGGATAATGAGTGACATCATTATGCGCCATAGTATTTGCCCCCGTTGTATTCTTGATCATGCCAATTACGGATTTGCTATTCGGCTGTGCACCGCGTATGAGCAACGAGCCATTATTGTGCCGCCACGTGGGCAAGGGTATCCGCTGGCTCTTGAAACAGCGTCCCAGGTGCGTCATGACCGCATCGCTGCAGTGGACCGGCGCAACTATAATGGCCGGATAAGTGCGACACGTGGCATAGTTGGCATTGGCATTACTGATACGAAATCCGAGTTGTGCCTCTGCATCGAAGCCCAAACGTTTCCAATCCCGTACATAGCTACGCTCACGCATGCGCTCGATGTCCTTGGTCGTGAGCAGACGTGGCAGCGCTTCGTTCTGCTGCGTCTCAAACTCATCTCCATCCTCCAGCTCATCGTCTATGGAGTGGGTTTCGAGTGCATCTGTGCTGCCACCGCCCATCTCATACTCCGGGACCAATTTACGTTTCGTTTGGACTTTTTGCTTGAATCCAGCTTTTTTAGCTGTGCGTAACAATGTTTTCTTTGCAAATCCCTTGAGCGTGGAGTACTTCTCCTTGGTTTTTAAAGGTACAACGCCTTGTAGCATAGTTCCATACGATTGAAATGCGAAATACTCAAATTCATCAAATGGATGGCGCGCTTTGTTTAGGGTTTTGCGAAACGTTTCGATTTGTTCGAGTGTAACCTCCGTATCGAAGGCAATCTTGAGCAACTGAAAGCAGCTGGATCGCAGCTGCAAGCCCTCCGGCAGCGTTTGATCTAAATGGGCCAAATACAGCATCGATATCTTCTTTTCTTTGAGCAGTGAGGCAATGGGAAAGGCACGCACAATTGTCTGCTCGCAAAAGAGCGGATCACAGGGCGAGCCCTTGAAAACGATGCGATAATTCGTCAAGAACAGCGCACCCTCGGCGGGTATCAAGCACTGGGTGTCATCTTCTCGTCCATCGGGCATGAGAAAGCAACGCAAATGATCGCTCGCTAATTCCTCTCCGGGGAGTAGACAAGGTGTCTGGATTTTCGGTTTCTGCACATGCGGATGCCGCTTGGCTTCGAGATAAACTGGCTCCAGCGATTCAATATGCATGTGCACCACGCCCGGCACCATGTCATGAAGATTGCGTATGTGCTCCGAGGTGACGCCGCCCTCCGTGCAAACGCAATCAATGAAACGAGATATTGTTTTGCCTACAGTAACACCTATCTCAGAGGCATCGTTCTCCTCGAAACCTTCATCGGAATGTTCGCTCAGGCTATGCGAGCCCATAATACTAAAATGAAAAAAGAAAAGTTGTCGATTGAAGAAAAATGCGTTCTGTTCGATCTATTTTATAATACCTATTGGAAACGCTCTGGTTCTCCTCGAGCCGAAAGGGCAGCTTAGGTTTGCTGGCCGCATCCACATTGACGTCGAGCGGTATTAGCAGGGATACCATGCGATTGGCAAAGTGTATGGCCTGGCTATAGAGCGTGGACTCTTCCGATTTGGCCAGCTCAGCCTTTTTCTCCTCCTCGATGGTGGGACTCTTCCGCAACTGTTCTGCGGTTATTTCTAGCGCCGTTGGCTCCTCCAGAGGCACTTCGTCCAGTACACAGTTGGCTTCCTTGTTGTGCTCGTTCTGGCGACGCTGCAACAAATACAGTGCCTTGATTTGAGCCTGCACATCCTGAAAGAATGTGGATTCCCAGAACTGCAGATTCTTCCATATGACATGATCCTGTATTTCCGTATAGGCAAATTGTACCACGCCCATAGAAAGCTTACGGCAGAATATAGTTGACATGGGAAGCAGCGCAGCTGCTACAGTATACTCATCCACGCCCGATGAGTTCTGCAGCGCTTTGTTCATGAATCGCACTACCAAATCGAATTGTTGATGATCCAGCACCGCTTTATTGCCATGTACGTAACCAAACAGCTCGCGACAAAGAATGAGACGTGCGTCTCGATGCTTTAGTGTGCGCATTACGGCAGGCAATAGCTTTCTCGCATCCGCAATGCGATTTTCAAATATGTATGAGACACAGGTGCGCAGCACCTCCAAGCGACGGGCTGAATTGTGTACCGTTGTGGGTCGTAGCTCCAGGGCTTCGGGGAGTCGCGGACCCATGGGTATAATTCGGGGTTGATTGCGGGTGACATGAAACCGCTGCGATTGGCCATTCTTGCGTATGCCATCCTGTATGATTAGCTCTACTTTTTCAACGTTAATACGTGGAAATGACGGCTGGTGAATGCGTTGAAAAGAGCCTTGCGGCGGCTTGAGCACCTTTTGGGCATAGGTTGTGTGAGCATTAGATGCCTCATTTTCGTATAGTGTGCGGCCTAGTTCCTGGATATGTGTGAGTATCTGCAATGGTAGATAAATAAGGTTTAGTTTTGTTATAAATCTTCTTTGTTTTTATTACATACGAGATTCCGGTTTTGTGACTCCGTTTTGAGCAATTCATTCATCGAGCTGTACAGCTCATCCCAGGCATCAGCAGCCCGCCAAGGTGGCCCACGTTCATTAACAAAAGTGGTAAAGAACATGCTATCAAGAACGCGATATAAAAACTCGCTCTCGATAAGATCGCGAGCACCCAAAAATCCAGCCTTGTGAAATGTTATCACTGGTTTGGGGTGAATACGTATGATAGTCAGGCAAGAGCGATAGCCCTGGAGCAGCTGTGCGAATAGACGCATAAATATGGCGCGCAGCTCCTTGTCAATTTGTGCTTCGGTCTTGACCATAGTTGAGTTGGGCCGCTCATTATTAGGAAAGGCGAGATCAGCTTGCGCCAAATTGGGAAAGAGTATCATGCTGAGCAAATCCTGCGTTTGCTCCCACAATGGTGATGGAAATATGGGCACTGGTGGCGTTAGTGCATCTGGTATGGTCACTAGACCACCATCCAAATCTACCACAATGACATCCAGCAAGTCTGTGATCTCCGATTGCAGCGAACTATGTATGCCCATAATGAAGGGTGTTGGCGTGGACAGCACCTCCGTGAGCGGGGCGGGGAGTATGGGTATGTAGACGTGTGTATAACGAAATGGATACATGAGCGCAACCAATGCCCGGCAACTATCCGTGAGATGCCAATAGCATTTGGAGTGAAAGAGTATTTTGTTTTCAGTCATCACGGCGCAAAGTAATATCAGCACATTCTTAATGCCCAGCTGCTTGAACAGGAAGTAAACACCGCTGCCCGTCATTGGCAGGGAGGAGCTTTGCGGTGGCTGCAGCGATTGCTTGTCACCGGCGCCAATCGAAAACCGCACCTGCGGCCCACCTGCCGGTGGCACTTGTATGCAGCCCAGAATGTTGCCAATAAGATTCTCCATGGCATATGGCAAATTCTCAATGTACACCGTGTAGATGGTACCCAGGCAGTTCTGTACAATAAATAAATTTATTTAATATTCATATAATATATATGTAAACTTTTGCCTTTAACTCTTACCTTAAAAGTCTCTGCGCAGTCAAGTCGAGATATTAGCACCAAGCATTTGGGCGCATACATAATGCTGTGATGTGTTATTGACTCAACGGGAGGAGTGCCGAGCAATCCGCGATTGCCACAGTTGCCATTGCTATTGTTGGCAATGGTCTCATCCTCATCGTCCACCGTGCGGGTCTGGGTGATCGCCAGAGTTTCATGAAAGCTTAAGCACGCACAATAATGCTTATTTGCATCGATGTCGGTGAGCACGGATATAAAGAATTTCGGCTCTTGTTTCTCGTACGATAAATTCCAGCCGAGCGGCTGACAGAACTACAATTATAAGTTTGAGTAAATAATGTTTGTAAGGGCATGTGTGTCAAAATAATGTATACCCACCCATTCGATGCCCTCGATGAAGGGCGTGTCGGGCCAATCTTTCTCGGGAAAGCGTTGCACAATTTTTCCGCATATTGGCTGACCGCAGACATTGCCGGCAGTTTCTGCAGAAAAAATAAAGCAAATGTATATTATATTCCAAGTACACATACAATATACAATATACACATTTCAATATACATATAAATGCATGCATATATGTGACACTCACTTTCTTTGTCGTTATCGTAGCCAACAATTACAAAGTAATCAGCGAGCCGGGACATCTCGTACGCTTACGCTGCAGCTGCACATTGCAGTCTAACTTAGAACTGGGGGGAACTGGGTGACTCTTACAGTATGTTGTTGTTGCTGTATGTGTGTGAGTGAGTGTAGTTGTTTGTGAGTGTGTGTGTAAGTGTGTGGTTGGGCTGATGTTTCGGATATTTACGTTGCCAAATCTACAAAGTAAAAGCACAAAACGAATAAAACAATACTGTTGTTGTTGTTATTATTGTATTTCTCTTTTGTTTTCATATACACACAACAGCAATCGTAATCGCCAGCCGCTTTGGCCGCCTGCCACAAACTGATTTGCATATCACAAATAATTGAAGCTTTCAATTAATATAGCTCGGGTTTTTGTGTTTGGCATAAGTAATTAGACGGCTCGTATTGTTCTTTCTTCTTTTCCTTTTTTGTTATATGCAAACATATTTTTAACGTACACGAATTTTAAGCCACAAACCACACCCCGCCCCTGGGTTTTAAGTCAATTGAACACACGTATGCGTTGCATTAAACATAAACGTTTATGAAGCATTTTACATATATATGAACACATATATGTACCGTTTCAGTGCTGATAGTATTAATTCGTTTGATGTCTGGCACTTTTATTATAAACAATTTACTTTAACTTTTAGATTTTTCATGCCTGCGGAATGTAGGGTTGTTGATATGCTATCGATATTTATAGACTCGTGATTCGATCTATTTTATAGTGCTACTCAACGTTTAATAATTGGTCATTATGCAACACTATATATGTGGCTCATTTGAGTTTATTATTCAATTTTTGCAATTAAAAACTTAAAAAGTTAGAAACCGGCTCATATTGTGTTGCTTTATAATGACTGCACTGATAAAATGCTTTAGATAACGGCTTTTCATATTTTTTAGCATTTACTTATCGATATCGTCCACTGCAAATGTTCACGTATCGATACATCGATACTCATAGCAGTCAGTGTGTGTGTGTGATTTTTTCCCTRCGACGTTAATATTTTTGTGCTATTTATGAAATTTTAACAACGTTCCCGAGGATTTAATCGCACTTTTATATTACTAAAACGGTGCTGGAGAAGCTATCGCATGTGTTAAAACAAAACTACGTTATAAAAATGACTGCGTTATTTGCAAATTAGCGATTCCCTTACATTGGCATTAAGCTGTCTTGTCGGGCTTCGGGCAGCAGGTAAGCTCCATTCGCTCTCCCTCTGTTCCGTTTTGCGTGCTCACCTAAATTATGTTGCTCTCTTTATTTCGCTCCCTCTCTTTCTTACTTACTCATTCTCATTGACTACCAAAATATTTAGCTCTCTTTGTCTTCTTCCTCACTCACAGCTGTTTTTTGGAAAGATCTCAATTTCTTATCAGAGACCTTTCTGCAAAACAAATAAAAGTTGTAGTACACCAGTCCGATTTTCCAGGAAATTAAAAGTGTGTAATAATCAGCAGTGGTTGATTCAGGTTAACATTAGGTACCACAAAGGAAGCATGAATTGATGCACCTTTTGTCGAACACTTAATCGTACTATGTAAATAATTAAGAATTTTCCTTATAGTTAGGACACACAAAATGCTTTTTTTTTTTTGTTAAGCAACAACGGTTTAACGGAGCTTTGGTATTTTATTGGCCAGGTCCGACAGTAGATCTATGTAACATTAAGGTAGATTATAGTCACAGTAGGCGATTTAAATAGACATATTCTAAATTTGTTGGTTCGATTTTCTCATAATACTCATATTTACGTGATCGCGTAGACACATTAATCATTTTTCTCATTTATGTTTCTCTTTAAAAGTAAAAAAAAAACCAACAAAAAAAAAAGCGTAAGCATGGAAAATGAACAGGATGAACTCAGACATCGACAGCACATGCAGGACCAGCATCGTAACCAGCATCACGGCGTACCGATTGGATATTCTGATGTCATGCTACAGCTTGGCTCCCGAGAAGCCCGTAAGTGGATTTGCAAACAAAATAGAATAATGGCATCACTATTTATGATTCACTTGATTTGATTTGATTTGATTGCATTCTAGAACGATCACCATATGCCGTCTACTTTGAACAGCCACGTGAATCGCTGCCGGACAGCTATGTAGTTGTGCCCTCATATCTTCAATCAACATCGCAGCATCCGCAAACAGCGACTACTACTGCTTCTGTTGGTGGAGCTGGTAGTAGTGGTGGTGGTGGTGGTGACGGTGCTGGTGCTGGTGCTAGTGGTGGTCCCAATGGTGGTTATGTACCCTTGTTTCAGTATCAGCCGACGTCGAGGAGTGTTAATCGCGAGTCCTATGCGGAGCCAGCGAGCTCAACTGGCAACAAGTGCTGGAAATGTAATGTCATTCGCGATGTATGCCATTGCAGTCGGCTGGTAGAAAGCAATAGCAGCTACGCGGCGCCCATGGAGCATGTGCATTCCACTCAATCGAATGGCAATGGCGCAGGTGAGCCAACGCAATTCTTTGAACTCAGCTCAACATCAACGGCGAGCGCCACATCCACGTTGTCAGCGTCGGCGAATAGTACCAGCAATAGCCGTAGTGACAGCAGCCAATTCATTCCAAATCACTCGCAACGTAAGACTGAAGTGGGTGTCCTGGCACAACAACAACYACAGCATCAGCAGCAGCAGCAGCATGAGTCACACACGCAACATCAAGAGTATGACAATAGCACCAACAACATCAACATAAATCCCAGCAACAGTGTGTCTCATTTAGGTAGCATCTGGTCCGCTGCCATGGATGACCATGCTGTTGATGAGCAATTAATGCAGCAGTCTAGAAATAATACATCATCGGCGGGCTATGAGCTGCCCAGCAGTTCGCTCCTGAGCTCCCACAACAGCAGCAGCACAAACAGCTCCTTTGAGGCAAGCAGCAGCAACAGTAATAATAATATTAACTCTCATCTGGTTAATGGTAATGCCACTGCTTTTGATGATGTCACATCCAGTGCATCGGATACGGAGCACGTGCAGTTTGCCAATACGCGGACCACCAACACAACCACAACAACGTCAGCGCTGCAAAAGAAAAAGCATCAATCGAGTCGAAATCGAAGTGGAAATGCAACAGCTGCGACCAGTGGTACAGTCATTGATGCAACAGCTTCCGCTGCGGCTTCCTCATCGGTCATTGATCTGGATGCTACACCCAGTACCAGTGCCCAAGCGCAACAGCAGCAACAGCACCATCGTAGCCGTCATGGCTATCGGCAACGACGGTATCCCAGCGAGCTGGATCATGCGGGCGACAACAGCAGCGACGATGGCTGGGATCTTCGCATGCGTAATGCAGCAACTGAATCCACAGCTGGACGGCCGCATAGTGCCCACAGCGATTTGGAGGCCCGCCATACGGATCACACGTATTTCAATAGTCGTGGCTATACATTTAATGGTCTACCGCCTCCACCACCGCCATCAGATAGCAGCTTTATGCGCTCCAATTCTGCATCCTGCACTACAGCTACTCACACCACCTGCAGCGTAGACTATGGTGGTCGGGACATCTGTGGCGTTCATCGTCTCACCAATGATAGGGGTGCCGACACACCCATCGCAGAACAACAGCAGCAGCAACGAACAGCAGCTGTGCTTAAATTTTGCTTTGGCTCGGGCGGGATTGTGCGCACGCGTTCCCGTGTACGCTCAATGGATGAGTCTATTCCGGTGGCCAGCAGCAGCGGTAGCAGCAGCAATCACAGTCTAAATCAGCCATCCAGGAAGCTGTCACGTCTGGAAGCCCAAAATGAGGGGCGACTGTCCTCCTCCTCCACCATGTCCAATCTGTCGCCGACGAACTTCTATGCATTTCAGCCAGGCCGTCATCGGCATCGCACTTATGCGGAGTTGGCCCGAAGTAATGAACAACAGGTAAGTGAACCACATTAAATACTGATGGAAAACGGTGATCTATATGATAAATAAACAAAATATGAAAATATTTTGGTAATATCCATTTATATATTATGATATATAACTAGAAACTGACATTGTTAAATGTTTCAATATTTTTCTGTCAGTGTTGAGTTATTTTAATACAAAATAGGCGTTTAGAGATATTATCATTTTTGTTATTTTTTTCGTTTTGGTATGATAGACTTTACAGATTATACGAATTTCCATAAACTTGAGTAGTATTTGTAGGTGGAGCAATCCTTTATTACAACTAATAAATGCCATATGTCTGCAAGGGTATTTAAACAGCTAGAAATTCGAAACAAAACCCTCAATAATTGTATTTACTATTTTTTCTGTAATCTAGGAGTCCCAGCAGTCTATGGCGCAACCGCTGCAGCCGGGGAGTCAGCCAACAAGTGCCGGTTCCTGCGTAATAACCTATGTGGGTCGGCCGCGTGATACAGATAGCAGCCGAGCGGCGACCAGCACAATGGAGCTGCCCAACCTGCCTTCCACTTCGACAGGCAGGCGACAACACTCTGGTTCACACACTAATATCAAAGATAATGCGGTGCTCACGGCGCCGGATCTACAGCTATTGGATTGGTCTTCCGATTCGAATGACGATGATGACGATGTGGTATTTGTGCACTCCACACGTGAACCAATACTCTCCATCGATTTGACATCTGATGATGATGGCTTTGGTGCCAGCAACGAAACGGCGATGCAGCAGCAGTTGCAGCAAACACGGCATCGTCATCGACTGGAACAACAACAGCAGCAACACCAACAGCAACAGCAACAGCTGCGGCAACTGCAACTGCAGCAGCAACAAGAGCAGCATCAGCTGCAACATCAGCAACAGCAGCAACAACTACATCGGCTTATACGCGATGAGCCACTCGCCAGTCGAACGGCGCCTAACAGCGAAAGCTTAAATCCGCCTGCAGCTGGTTCCAATACTGCCTCCGTGTCAGCAACCCTCCTACCGCGTCCAAATTCGGCTAGCGAGTACGAAGATCGACGACGCCAGCGCCCGGCGGCGGGCACATCCTTTGCTTTTTATACTGGCGCTTTAACGGATCGCGTCGCCATCACCGATCACAACTATAGCAGCTATGATCATACGCCGGCCGCCATGGGGCCAATTATCAGTTTGTTGCCCACACGATGTCCTGGCCTTGAAGCTGAGGCAGCGGCGGCGCACTCGCAGCGCTATTTCCAGCCCATCACGCCGCCACCCATGTGGCATTTTGCGCCGTTGCCAGAGGGGCAACCCCCGCCACAGGCACTGCCGCCAACGCCCAGCGCTAATGCGGGCTCCTACGTGCAACATACGTCCGCGGGTCCGGTTATTGCAACGCCAGTGGCGCCGACTCCCGAGGCGGTGCCCAGTGAACATGGCAGTCCCGCCGCTTATTACCATCGCTATCAGCCGTACTATGTACCGCACTATACAATTACAACACTACCGGCCAGCCGGAGCAATGGCGATTACTCGCCGGGACCGGTGACCAATCCACATTATCAGGGAGGTCTGGCCAATTCCACGGGCAGCAGTCGGAGCTCAATACGCGGCGCACTAAACGCTGCTGCTGTGGCAGCTACTGTGGCCGCAGCACAAGCGCAATCCTTCCATGATCTGCTATCTTTGGCATCCCCAGTCACCAGCATGGAGAACAGTAGCATGGAGGATAACTATCATCATCGTAGCCAAATGCTAAACCGTGCAACTACACCTGTTGCCACTGCCGTTGCCACAGCCGCAGGTCCACCGCCGGTGATGTCCTCCATAGTTACTGTAGCGGCAGCTGTGTCGCCGCCGCCACCGCTCGAGATGTATTCCGGGCGGCCAACAATGCAGTATTGCGGCTCGCCACCGTTTAGCCTACGGCGCTCAGATGCGTACCATAATCATCGCCAGCACTATCAGCCGCAGCCGCATCAAGGCCATCAGGCTCCGCAGAACCAAATGCATGCACACATACATCCGCCACATCGAGCTAGTGCGATTGTGGCTACGTCATTGACGCCGGCCCCACCGTATCCGGTGCATCAGAATCTGTGGTATCGACAGCAGAGCATGCAGGAGCTGCACCGTCGTCACATGACACCCACGCCCATTGATCTCTCTTCGAATCCATTGAATCTGACGAGCAGTCTGCGCACTCGTTATTTGCACAGCATTTGCAATTGTGTGCATGCTCGCAATGGACCCGTCTCCAGCCTTGATCCTGCCTATTATCCGGCCTATGACGCAGCTGTACAACAGCAGAGTTCCACGGCCACTGGGCCAATCGATGCCCATCAGCCACCGCCGCCGCCGCCGCCACAGCTGGGAATACAATATCAACAGCAGCAACAGCAACAACAGCAGCAGCAGCAACAGATTCAGCAGCAACAACAGCAGCAACTGCAACATCAGCAGCAGCGACGTCGAGCTGCAGTGCATCATCACATGTTCCATCATTACTCACCGCTACACCTGGAAATTGGGCTGGCCACGCCGCTCTCCTTGGGTTCCTCGCGCATACTGATTGGACCTCCCCGACCCAATCGTGGCGCCACATTGGTAAGCATGCAAACAAATCTGAAATATTGCAACTTGATTGAATGAGTTAAATTCTTGCAGGAGATTATTGAGCGCAACACTTTGCCTCACAAATATCGTCGAGTGCGCCGGCCCAGCGAATCGGATGAAGATGCGGAAAAGTGTGCGATTTGCTTGTCGCTCTTCGAGATTGAGAATGATGTGCGGTGAGTAATAGACATTAGGTCGCTTCGTTATCAGTCACTAAATAGTTGCTTTTCAGACGTTTGCCCTGCATGCATCTCTTTCACACTGACTGCGTGGATCAATGGCTCGTCACCAACAAGCACTGTCCAATTTGCCGCGTTGACATTGAAACGCATATGGCCAAGGATGCACTGGTAGCCAGCTCCAGTGGCGTTGCAGCAGCTGCCGCGGCTGCTGCAGCTGGCACTGCCGCCTTATGACATTGTGTACATGGTTTACTCATGTAAGACATTAATAACGACAAAAACAGACACAACATCGGCTCTAAATCCGCTGCAGAATGCAGTAAAAGGATATGATTTTCGGACTGAGCCCGTCATGTTAAACATTCATGTCAGGGCCGACAGCAAGGCGCAGCAGCAAAGCAACAACAACCATAACCACTGAGAAACCATGTTTTAAAAACAAGCCAAAAAAAATATAATAATAACAATAATATTGCATGCCGTGGATACACTGGTGCATCTGGAAACCCCAGTTATGGGTGTTGTGTTGCAGCTGATGACGCTGCCCCATTTGAACGCAATATGGGGCGATGCATCTAATCAACTCTAAATTCCCTGAGTTCGTCATGTTCGTTATGCATGGGTCAGGCCGGCAGCCGCCAATAAAAAAAGTCTCGTCAAATTGTTTTTATTCACAAACTAAAAAAAAAAATCATAAAAAAACCAAACGAAAACAAATCGTCAAACGTCAGCCAATTGGAACTGTGAACCCACCATAACAGGCGAAATCAGGTGTAAAAAATTTGCTGCGTTTCGTTAAATGTGAATATATATATAAA